ATGTTTTTCCTTTCAGTTTCGCTCTGAAGCCAACCGAAAGGACCTGTTGGGTGGGGAACACATGGGACTGACGTCCCACCTTCCTCATCTCCTTCATCTCTTGCAGCGGCTTCTTCAAGAAAGTGTCCTTTGGTGGGCTTTTTGTTTTTAAGTTGGTACCTTTTTCAGATTGGTTTAAGGGAAAGCAAAGGGACAGCTGCCATGTTGAGAGTCCAAATCCCAATTTTGGCACATTGCCAGTGTTTCCCAAACCTCCCCTTACAGGGTTGCTCCCATCACACACGATCGGTCACAAGGGCAGAACCGTTGATCCAGAAGAGAAAAGCAACCGGACACAACTCTTTACCACTTTTCCACTGTTGTCGTTTTGAGTTGTTTCGAGGCTCGGATCATTAGCATTGCACGGTCTTGCGGCAAACATTACTTGGTGTTGTTTCACGGATTTTCCTTTTGTCCCACTCTTTTCGGGAAAAAAGCGGAGACTCGAGGAGTAGACAGCCAATTTTTCGCAGGTCTCTCTATTCTGAGCTGACGGGGGTCAAAAGGCCTTCTCTTTTTATTGAAGGTGCCACTCAACATACAAAGCCTTTCCTTCCATGGAATTTCGCAAGGGGTATTATCTCTCTTAAAGGCACACGGCTTGCGGCACGTTTTTGTGAGGCAATGGTAGGACACATTTTCCTTCTTGAGGCCCCTTGCAGAGTGCCCCTGGCTTCGTTTTGGGACAGAATCAAAGAGTCCAAGCTGCTCAAAACCGAAAGGCACAAAGAAACGCCACTTGGGCAATCGGTCCTTGCCCTTGTCGGCTTGGGCTTGTCTTCGCCGGAAAAGCACCTGCCAGGGTCCAGTGGAAAATCATTTTTCAAAGGCTGGGACCAAACCTTGTCAGGGTCGCCGAGTTGCAACCAGCGCAAATTTGCGATGCTTCTTTTGTAGACATCCCAAAACAAACGTGGATCCTGAACACGTCATTTGAGTTCCTGCTGGCCTCAAACGGCGGGGGACCGGGCTTCTGTGCAAACTCAGGCCCCTTGAAGGTTATGTGGCCTCAGCCCAGTTCTTAAGTTTTGGGACACATCCCACATCCAGGGCTCTCTATGAACAAACAACATCCTGATGGATCAGAACAAATGTGAATGTTGGCAGCCAGAAACGGGAAACCAAAAGGGAACCAACCATCCAAATGAGTTCCATGGCTTACCTCGACCGCTTGTCTGGAGAGCTTGCTGACATGGGGACAAGGCACCATCATCGACACTTTCCACTACAGCTCAAGACGTGCAAGTAGACCAACCACAGCCATCCTGGCTCCCTTGCGTGTGTGTGTCTGGACTTGGACCCCTCACAAGTCTAACTTTCAAATTGCCCAGAACAGCCAACACAAGTTGCGGAAACTAAGTCCCTGCACAAGGAAAGCAAACAAACACACTGTTGCCTATATTCTGCAGCAGTGCGGTCATATTGTTGGAATTGCAAAAGGAGCAACTCTGCTGAACTGAACATTCCACCAACCAGGGTTGGCCTTTTCAACCCTTTTGCCTCTGGTTGAAGAACGCTTAAAAAAGACGAGGCTGCCACTGGGGCATCTTGGAAGACTACCCGGTCCGCTTTTCCGCTTTTCAAAGGGATGCCCGTCCCCAAAAATGGAGGGAACGCTGGGAGAGCCGCCTTTCCGCAATTTTCTGGCCATGTTAGAAAAGTACCAGGGAAGCTTTCCGATATTTTCAAGTGGACACCCGTCCACTGGGCTGCTGATGGAAGGCACCCGCACGCCTCCGGCGGCAACGCCCCGCTCTTCGTTTGTGGCGCGGGCGCGGCCTTGGCCTTGCCGCGGGCCCTGGCAGCAGCAGAAAACTCGGGGGGGTCCACCCCGAAAATCGCCTGGGGGTCCCAAAGGTGTTTCAAACCACCAAGGGAACGTAGGTCCAGCTCTTCCTGGCGCAAAGGATCCATCACTGGATGGTTTCTAGGTCCTCCAGTTGAGAGGTTAGAATAAGGGTACCAACTTTCTTCTTTTTTGTATATTTTCGGGGAACCCTCCCCAAACAAAGGAGAGAGAAGGGCACTATTGGGGGCCCCAAGGTGTTGAATGTAGTGACCGAATTGTGGAACATTAAGGGAGCCCTCACAAGAGGAAGACCAGACTTAACACATGATCTGCTGGGTTCAAAGTCAATCCTAAATAGCTACATCCCTTGTGATAGCGGCTTAAACTGTGCTTAGTAACATGGCTTTGAGCACACCGGGAAGCATGGGGAATTCAGTGCTGGCAATGCAACAGTTCCAGAGATGTGACTTCTCTACCCATGATTATTTCCTCGTCTTGTTTCTTTTGCTAACAAGTGTCAATGGTTGGTCTTTTTTGATCTGATAGGCCCGTGCTTGCCCTTGTTTGTTTCGCTTCTTGACAAGGACCGTGAGAGGAAGTCGTTCTTGTTGAGGTGTGCCATATCGTGTCGTGAACTGCCATCTTGACTCGAACGACTTGGGTGCCACGGGCAGCATTGACACATCCTAAACAAATAGGCAGGGATCAAATAAGCTTCAACAAATGGTGGTTTCAATCATGGTGGGCAAAAATTAGGTGTTGAAAACCATAGCCTAGGTCCTCCAGTAGAGAGGTTGGAATAAGGGTACCCTTTTTTCTGTAGTCTATTTTAGTAGGGGAACCAGCCCCTAAAAGGGCACTACTGGGGGACCCAGTAGCAGCCAAATCCATGCGGCCAAAAACCCACGGTGGCCCATTTTCTCATCCCCTGCCTGGCGGTCTTCTTTTTCCGGCCCTCGGCGGCCTCCACGCCGGCCATGGCCTCCTCCTGTCGGTGGCTTCAGGGGCAGCTTGAGAGCATCCATATTGATTGCTGGGCTAGGTCCTCCAGTAGAAAGGTTAGAAGACGGTACCGTTAGTGGGGAAACCCTGCCCCAAAAAAAGAAACGGTAAAAGGGCACCTAGCTGGGGGACCTAGTTGGGTGTGTTTGCAAGGCTCATCTGGGGAATGAACTGGTGGCCGCCCTTCTAGGAAACAAAAGATGGTTCAATTTGGCGGCGTTCTATCTCACTCCCTGAGAATGTTTGGGTTCGTTCCCAGGGGAGCCCGAAAGTTATGGATTTCCAAAAGGAACAGCTGTCTGGTTCTATTTCGAGGCTTTCCAGGATCGAACATATGACGCAAGGCCACTTTCTGCGAGCCAAGAGAATCACCAAAGTGACAAAGTGGTTGGATGGGAATTAGACTGCGCACATCCCAGTCTTCTGGTGACGGTACAACAAGACTTGGAACTATTCTCGCGGTTTGGTTTCCATGGGAAGTCAACGGGAATGTGAACACTTGGAGCAAAAATACCCCGACGTCACAAGTTGGCCGAGGAACAAACCAGAACTGTCGTCATACCACCAAGCATGAAGCCATGGAACCCAAGCGAGGCCCTGGAGACATCAACAACTCGCCTTTGGGCCGCGAAAAACCAAAGGATCAAAAGGTCGTCATTGGGCAAGTGAATGAGTCTAAATATGGTCGAAACAAGTGGGCTGCTGAACATGGACGTTTGGCGTTTGGCCAATCCATCAATCGCAGGGACGTTAACCGGCCACACATGGTGTTCAACACGGGGTAGCAGCGGAACAGCAGATGAGCCAAGCACGCCACCATAACTTGGTTGACGTTGGAAGGGGAGCAAACAATTAAAATCTCAGCAGCTGTGGTTGGATTTCAACCACTAAACCGCAATAAGACACACATGTTAACGTGTTTCCCAACCACGCCCAGCACCCCGCAGAGAACCGAGCCCGGCGCCTCTTCGGCGCGGTCCACTTCATCCAGGGCCTGGGCAAAGGCATCGAGGTCCCGGTCCCACAGGGTCTCGATGGTGGTGGCCCGCAGGAGGTCCAGCTCTTCCTGCGTGCAGGGTTTCCGTGGCATGCCAGGGGCGCGTGGGATCAAGCAAGCGGAAGAAAGCATGGCGGTTTGAACGAGAGAGGTTAGAATATTGGTAGACGTCTATTTTAGGGGAACCCTCCCCCCAAAAAGGGTAAAAGAGCACTTCTGGGGGACCTAGGAGTTTCCGTGGCATGCCAGGTGCTGCGCGTAGTCCAAGTGTTTATCAGCGTGTTTTCAGGCATTGATTGGGGGGGGGAGCGCTTTGCGTGCCCGAGGCTAAGCAATCCAAGTTAAGGGGGCGCCGCTGGCTGTGGTGGCCTTGTGAGATGGCCTGATATCAAGTCATTCCAAGATGGGAAAACACGATCCTCAAAAAAACTCCACCGTCACAATATACAAGAAACAAACCTATGTACACATGGAATGGACATACAACCAAGCCACTTTTATGTTCACACTAGTTGCCTCAAGCAGAATAAACATGGATGCTTCCTTTCAAACTACATGCTGATTTCGGGACGTGAAAAACACTTTGCTGAACCTCGGGGGCAAGTCTGCTTGGGCTATGCCCAAACATGGGTGGTCTCAAAGTGTGGGGAGCCTCAAATGGATAGTTTCTGTACAGCGGAACACTGAGCAAGAACTCACACAGATGAGCCTCCTTCCCAACTACTGAAGCTCTGTGGGTCAACAGACCAGGGGTATTTCTGCTCCCTTCAAATCAGATGACAAACCTAAGGACCTCTATGGGTCCAGAAGCAACCGGCGTGCTGTTGGTTTCCCGCGCAGCCCTCCAAAGACGAGTCCAAATGAAGCCCTGCCGCCCCAAAAAACTGGAAGGACCCCAAACGATACGCGGTCGCTTTCTGCTCCCCTGCTCAAAGTGATTAACTTTTCGTGGTTTAATGGAAACCCCATTAGTTGGCAAAAAGTTAAAGTCCTAACATCCAAGCAAAATGCACCAAAGGATACTCCGAGGGCGAAAAATCGGCCGTGCCTTCTTGGTCTCCAGCTGCTTCTTGATCTCCTCCACTCGCTCGTACCTTTGGAGTACCCAAGGGGAAACAGGGATATGCCGCTGGTGGCATATACCCCAATTTTCCTTGGGGAGTGAATTGGGGGTGGGAATCTCTTGGAACCATCCGTCTTTGGGCATCTTTTCAAAACCAGTGGGTTTGAACCTCACAATGGCTGCAAACCAACCAAGCAGGGGGTCTTGTTCCACATGACCTTAAGCCCCAAGTGGCTTCCACCGGACGAAAAGACGAGTTTCTCCACGGTGCGCTGGTTGGTGACGAACCCCATCAAAAGATAAACCATTCTGATAAACATTATAAAGGGCCTTCAAAAAGACGTTCTACAACAGGAAGTCCATCTGTTGTTCTAACTGGGTCAACAAGAAGACCCTGGTTCAATGCTTGTGGGATCAAGGATATAAGGAGCACCAAGAAAATACAGGCGGCAGGCAAGACGATCAACTCCAGCGGTATACTCTTCAATAATTCTTCAGTGGGTAATTTACAGATTCGGAGGAGCTGTCTTTTTATAGTCTAGGCGCCAGCCGGGTGTTTTTTGGGGAACTACATCGTGCGCATTCAAGCGGCTCGCGCAGCAGCCGCGGTTTCGGGGACTACGCTTTGGTTGGGCGAAGCAGCAAGGACGCAATCATTTCCGAGTGAATTATAATATTTCACCCACCTGAAATAAGGTGGTTGGGGGGAATCTCCCCACATAAACCACCATTTGGGTTTTTTGGTCGTGTGAGGTCGTTATAACTCACCCAGACCTTTTGGGGGGTCCTTGGAGAGTTGACTCTTGCCTCCGGGCTGCGTCAGGCTCCAGAGGTTCATGTTCAGGAGGTAGTCATACTCCGTCTTGTCCGGCGTTTCTTTTGAGTCCGGCTCCTGTAGCTTGGGCCCACAGACCAAGAGGCAAGCTGCAAGCTGAAGACTCCAAGAACTGAGAGGTGGTTTACCGTGGTAGCCATGGTTCTTCACATGGGAAGCTGACCAATTGTCAGGTTGCCCAAGAGTCAAAGCCCTCTTTTCAACACGTAAAAGGGGTGGAACGCACTGAGACACACCTAGTGGAGCCCCAAACAAAGCTACTTGGTTGCCCAAGCTGATATGGGAAAGTTGCGCGGGTGCCCCTATGATCTCCAATGTCCTCCCCAAACTAGCTGTAGACTATCCGTACTTGTGTCAGTGACACATGTGACCTGCAAAGGCTTTGAGACGCCACAGCATGCGGGTCCTGTCAGATCTTCCCTTTTAACGTGACAACGGCGACGACGACACGTGTCTTCTGGAACAACGCTCGAAAGCCTTGCCTAAGTTTGACAACTCAGCACTTCGAGAGGCTACTTTTGGGGGTGGGGCTCTGCAAAACAGGTCAAGAAGCCACGTGCAAATAGCAAGGTGTCCTTAAACAGGTCGGTGGGTTTTTGTTGGTTCTTCTACGCCGTCCAAAGGTCCCTTGACGGTTCTCTTGGCATCCCAGAACACTCAGCTCACACTTGTGAAAGGTCCGAAGGGTCTGGCGGACCTCCCAACGTCCAAAAATTGCCCAAAGGACCCAACAAGAGGTGTGTGTCGTTGAGGCTACCCCCCAAGCATCGAACCTGACCAGGTCCCTAACGGGCGCCTGGTTCAAAGTACCCCAAACTCGTCAGGTTCCATGTGAGCCGCGCCTCGCTGCCCAGGGAGGTCTTGCCCTTCATGATGGCATCCTGAAGTGTCAAACTTCTGGAGAAACCAAGGGGCACACTGGGGGTGAAGCCCGCTGGACTTTTTTTTTCTTGGGGGGAGGATGCTTGCAGTTTTTTTTTGGTCAGAAGGAACCCCAGCGTTTTGGGCTTTCACACAGATGTGAGCAAGGATCAGAGCCTGGAAGCAGAAGCATACTCAGTAAAGCGCCACAAGACCTTCCTGACTCACCGGTTTCCGGTTGGGGGCCGTTCCCTACATTGTGGCTCACGTAGCTGTGGGTCCAAGCGGCTGTCAAAAACACCGTCGTCTCTACACCCTTACCCAGAGGGATTCGCTTGCAAAAGCACGCAAAGGTATTGGGGTGAGGCACCAGGCAAACACATGGGCAAACACTGAAAGGCCAATGCTGTTGCACTCGCTGCCTCATCACAAGCTTCGAATATCTCGGAATCACTTCTAGACCCATACAGGTTTTTCGGAAGGTAGACTTGAAAAGTCAGCCCTCCCACCGCACGCGCAGATTCACTTGAATGGGCTAAAGTCGGATGCTAAAAACTGGGGCCAATTTGTCCCTTCCTCACGTGCCAGGACCCGGAGAAAGACTCGGCTTCGGGGCGACTCAGATCGACTGGACAAAAACAAGCTCGAAGGTCAGGGCCGAAGTGGCGGTTCAACATGGGCTGTTTGGCCATGGCTTTCACCCATTCCGGTTGGAGCCAAACAGATTTCATGGAAGCACCTCGCAAAAAACGAAGAAAGAAAGGATGACATGGGCGCAGAAGGCACACACTTGAAAGCAACATCATGAAGGCATCTCCGGGTTCAAAGCTGGACACGTTGGCCCTCTCTCATTTTTTTTTTTGCGTAAGTGGATTCGCGAAAAGGGACCTGCCACATGCTTTGGTTAGAGCCACAGCTTCTCCCCATAACTCCTTTGCTGTAGATCTCCCAGCAAAACGTTTAACTTTTTGCGGGCTACAAGGAAATGTGAGGGGTATCCAAAAAGTTAAGGTCTAAAAATCCAAGCCAATAGCAGTAGAGGTAAAGGGTTGAACCCAGGTCTTGGACCCTGGCGAGCTCGCTCATGGGGGTGAACTTGAGCTTCTTGAGCTCCATCAAAAGCTCCGCCTTCTTCTTCCTGAACGTGCCAAGGTACATACCCCTTTTACATGGCTGTGAGATGGCTTGCCCTGGTAAATGGAACCAAAAACTAACCCCTGCGGTCCCCTGGTCCCTTGATGGCTTAATTTTGACCCATACCCACATACGCCTCTGCTGATGTTCATACCCTATCCTCTCCCCAAAAGTGCTTTCTTCTCCCCTTTGTAAAGTGGAAACCACGGAAGCCAAGGAGTATGAGCAAGGGGTATTCCACCCTTAGATCCTGGCACTTGGATGGGTTTCCGAGTTTGTCCAAAAGTACTTCGTGCCAGGGCGGTTTATCCCCGCAGATTTCATGCCAGCCGGTGCAGGATTCTGTCCATGTACAATGGGATCGGGTTCCATAGGTGTTTGTCTCATGATGACCCCCACCCCAAACCCCCAAACATGTGGGCCCTTTGGTTTGCCCCTGCGGACGGCCTCAAAACCGTATCCTCCAAAACACCCAAACATGTTTGCAAAGCAACAGAACGCATTCCTCCCACCACCCACTCCAGTGGTTTCGGCGGAGATTATTTCTAAACATATCTTGGCAGAAGGGTGGTTGAAACAAGGGAACCCTGTTGGCCCAATGCTGACCCAGACACATTTTCATTTATCGCGAGAAGAAAATGTGGCCACCCACAAATACGGCTGCCATTGGTCTCCAAACATATGTGAAGACTTTGGAAACTGCTGGGCAAATCCGGGCAGGATGGATCTGAGGTGATTTCCTGGCGAGCTTTGATCGGGAGATAGGCAATCGAGTCCAACTATCAGAGGTTGAAGACTGGCTGATGCCAACATGCTTGGATCCCAAAATGGTTGCGGAAGAACGACGTGGCAAAGATTCGCGGGCCATTGGAATTGCTTGACCTTGCTGGGTAGCTGACTGCCTGGCGCGCCGTTTTTCCACGCCGTGCGGCGGTAAAAGCAACGGCTGAACGCCAAATGGCTGTGCCCTCGCATGGCAGCTGCTCTTCAGCAAGCCTTCGGACCCACAAACAAGACAAATGCAACAAGCAAGCTCTACTCAATCCTGGTCCTAACTGTAAATTACGGCTGGTTCACGGAACAACTAAAGACAGTGCAAGCGTGACTAGAACTGCTGGCTTGATGAAGCGCGCGGGAAAGCAAACTGGTATACCTCCCGGACCCCAGCTGCATGTCTGTACCAATTTGCCCCCTGTTCCTTAGCTGTACCGGGGGGGGCATCTATCCCAAAAAAACAACGCCATCTTTTGGCGCTGTCAAAACCGTCTTTGGCCCTGGCCAGTCCTTTTGCAGCACTCAAGGCCCTTGCGTGTTAAAAGGACCAGCCGGTCGCCAGCCGACTTCACTCCTCCGGCTTGTCCTTGAAGAAGGTGACGAAGAACCTGGCGGCGGGTTGACACGAAATAAACGGAACATGGATCAACCCCCACATCTTTGATGCAAGCGGAAGACTACGCTTGCGTCTTTGTGAGACTTTTTGTCTATGTCCTCCAGTCGAGAGGTTAGAATAAGGGTACCGACTTTTCTGTAGTCTATTTTGGAAAAAGTTGGTTTGCAGACCACCTAGCCGGGGGACCTACTTTTGTGAGACTTCTTGTGACCTTTTGCGTCATGGTGGGCCCCCCTAGACCTGGTTATCCCGAAAGCGTGTGTGACAAAGGTGACGCAAAAATGTTGTGATGTACACAGGTGTGATGTTGCTTGTGTACACTGCGTCGTGCCACGTATCCAGGCACTACTCTACTCGACAACTGAAATTCTTAAACCTACACTTACACACGCCAAGCAAACATCTAAGCAACCCATTTCTAGCATGCAGCAATCGCGTTGCAGCATTGCCTCATTATTCATGTGCAATGCTAGGCGGCGAACGTGAAACTGCGCAATCAAGCCCACGCATTCAACGCTGAGCTGCGTGCGCGCCGCTGTACAATCGCTTCGCCCTCGCTTGACAGATGCAAAATGTTATATATTTATCTCTCTCTCTCTCTCTCTTTTTCTGTCTCCTTCTCCTACAAAAGAGAAGCCCTGTTGCTACCCTTTGAACCCTTCCAGACTCTCTGGGCCGCCGCGCGTGTCGCCCTGGGTGTCCATGAGCTGCAGCTCCGCCGCTTCCGAGACTGGCCCCAGGCCCCGCGGGTAGCGCCCGGCCAGGCTGCAGGCGATGGAGTAGAGGCAGCACCCCGTGACCAGGAGGTAGATCCCCGTGCTCAGTCCAATGGCCTGCCACAACTGAGCCCCTGCATTTACCACATACACACATATATATATATATATTATACACAACCTAAGCAAGTGTGTATATATATATATATCAATTTATGTACCGAAAAAGCAAACAAAAACAGCATGAACCACACTACGGTGGCAAAATTCAAGCCCACATACCAACAAAAACACACGAGACATGCCGAATGAGAACGAGCGGCGATGTCCAACGGGACCGGCCAACCGAAGGCCGCGCCGGAGAGAATCTTCAAGGCATCCCCAAAGAGGCTCATGAAGACCAGAAACCTCTGAGCTGGCTCCGAACCAAGGTATGACATAGGCCGGAGAATGTAAAACGAGGTAGAGAGTGAAGGAGAGTGAAGGGGAGTGAGCTTTTGGCTCCGGAGAATGTAAAAAGAGCCCGGAGAATGTAAGAAACCTCTGAATGGAAGATACCAAACAAGCAACAACGGGTGGGCATCTTCTATGGCAGGAGGGGTTTAACAAACTTCTATGAGCAAATGGGCGTGTCTCTAAATCGGGAACCCTCAAACGGGTTTCGTTTTCCATTTGGCGTCACGAAAAATCAGGCACCCCCCTCAAACAAAGATTGTTCACGAGCCACAGCGCGGCTTCCCGCAATCAACCTGGACAAAGTTGGGTTCCGTCCCCTGGGTCCTCATGCCTCTCCCAAATTGATGGACTTTCTCGCAACATTTTCACCGAGCCTGGCGTGGAACCCCGACCCGCCGCTCAGCCTCCACTTTGCTCCTTTTAATTCAAACCCCTGACCAGTGTACCCTCGAAAGCGACTTGCCCAAGCATACTCTGGTCATCCAGTGCGGCCAGAAAAACTGGACACCCAGGACTAAAACCCACGCCAAGCAGGCAAGCAACAAACCACAAAATCCTGGCCAACCGCCTGGAGAAAGCCGCCTAGAAAAGAAACACTCCGGCGAAACGCCCGGAGCCTAGGTCCTTTAGTAGAGAGGTTAGAATAAGGCTACCCTTTCTTTCTGTAGTCTATTGTAGTCGTCGAGCCCTCCCCCAAAAAGGTTGGTAGAAGTTGGCACTGCTGGGGGACCTAGGCGCTTGTCTCTCTTTGCGCCCGAGGGGCACGTTCAGCGTGATGGCCTGGCGCAGGTTGTAGCGCAGCAGCGCGGGCACTTGGCGGTTGGCCGCCACGGCCTGGACGGCTTTAAGGGACGGCCACTGTTTCCAGAAGCCATGAAATCCGGGAACTCATGGAGCTAACGCGCAAGTGGACGGACTTTTTTCAATCGACCAAGCTGTCAGAGCTCAGGAATGGAGCTTACGGATCCTAGCGGCCGTTCAAAAAAAATGGAGCTAACGCGCAAGTTGCTCTTTGGGATCTAATGGAGCTAATGGATCCAACGCGCAAGTGTTTTTTTGTTCGCCAATCCCGGAACTCAGGAAGGCCGTTTGCCTGCTCAATGGAGCTAACGGATCCTCCTAGCGAACGTTCAAAAAATGGAGCTCGTGGGCAAGCTGCTCTTTTTTTCTCCACCGACCAGAAGGCCAAGGGTCTTACTGATTGTACCTTCAAGCACTCAGGCGCAACTCCTTGCTTTCCAAAAGTGGGCCTCACAAAGTGAGGGGTCCAAACACCCCCGTTGTTTGGACGGTTGGGGCCAAGCCTGCATGGTAATGAAGAGCGTCAAGTAGCCCAGGCCGAAGGGCAAGCCGTTGATGAACAGCGCTGGCACCACCAGCAAGTCCAGCAGTGGCTGGATCACTGGGAAGGAAACAAAGAGGAACCTGGAACGCGCCTTTGGCGCGAAATAAAGAAACGCCTTTGGGGTTATTCAATGGTGGAGGAGAGCTGACAAAGAAAACCAATGGACCTGTCCCTCCTTTGCGATGCTTGCTTTCTCTCTTTCACCATGTTAAGGGGGAAGGGGGGTGGGTTTCCCCAGCCCCAGTTTAAGGTAAACTCATTTCGAACTGGCCCAAAAGGTGATGATTGAAAGCCAGCAAAGAGGACATGCAGGGAATTCTGCAAACCAGGCACAATTATTTGGCTAGGCCCGCATGCAAACGTTGAACAAGTAAACAGCTAAACATGTAAACTAAAGGCTAGACAAAGGTGCCACTGGACCTTTAAACAAAGCAGATCCTTGTACTCCAGAAAAAAAAGGTGCCACTGGGCCCAAGGCACATGCCGAAGCGCAGGGCATCTGTGAGGGGCAGCAGGTACGCCAAGACCGAGCCGAGCCGCGTCAAGGGCCCCGTGTCCTCATTGCGCGGGGGGCGGTTCGCGAGGACCGTCTCCCAGAACTTCTCCAACGTCTTCTGGTCCTGCCGTAATTCCGTCACGTGACCAAAAGACAAGAGAAGAAGCTTTGGTTTTGCTGGAAGGCTCTGTTGTTCTGGTTTTCTTGTGTTGTTCTTGTCACCTTTTTCCGTTAGTTTTATTTTTTTGCAAATAAACCAACGTAACTTGAGCTCTGGTTGTTGTTTCTTCGAGACACGGATGAAAAAGGGAACTGCCCGAGTCAAGACTGAAAGCCTTGTGAATTCCAATCAAAAGTCAAGATTCCGTTAGTGCTTGTTGGGTTGAAGTTCTTACACATGTTGAGCTCCTGTTCTTTTTTTGCGCAGTTCGGTGACTATCTGGAGGGAACATCTCAGCACCAGGGGGATAATGCCAAGCCAGCAAAGCAAAACTCCCCGAGAAAACCAGATATATATAATTAAAACAACCTGAGTTCTTTTTGTTGTTTCTTCGAGACACTCACACATCATGAAATGTTGGCGTCTTTTGCACTCTCCCTCCAGAAAAAGAGCAGTTTCCTTCTGATACTCACCAACTTGTTTAAAGCCAAAGAACTGAAGGAAACCAAACATACCGACCAAAACACGGGAGAACACCTAAATCTTGAAACAACTTCTGTCAAAACCGCTGGATGTCCTCCGAGCTTTCTCGACTTTCTTTCGGTTTTCCCGCAGTCTTTTCGACTTTCTGAACTGCCCCAAACAAAACACAATTGCGAACGGCTAAGGAACGGCTTCAGACTACCTCAGCTTAAGTTGACTATGCTAAGCACATCTTTGGAAGTACACCTTGAAATCACCCTCAACTTTCTTGTATGACTCGCACCGTCAAAGTCATCTTTCATCGCTCGGATGTCAGTCACAGTGCGAGCGTGCGAGGAAGAAACAGTTTCAAGCTTTTACGGTGTGATTCACAAAGTGAAAGTCCCCTTCAAACTTCCAGGTGTCAGTCATCATGCGAACACCACTTCCAAACCTTCAAAACTTCGTTCTTTAACTTACACTTCTTGACTATGTAGTGCTCTCTGGTTGGCAGCGGGTGGGGCCGGCGAAAGCTGTCGAAGGCAAGCCATCTGCAGGAATCGGCGTGGTCGACGTGCTGCAACTGAGGGCGGTTGAAACTTTCTTTTTGTCTTGGGGAAGGAGCGCGGTGGACGCGCAAAAACTGGAGCTTTTGCAAACTTTCCTTGGGATAGGCAAACTCTTTGTGGGGATCGTGCGAGTCGAAAGGCTTTCGCTGCGGCGCGATGTAAAATGCAAAATGCTCGACGAACCTCTGCCGGGATCGTGCGCGTCAAAGTGCGCTTGCTGTGGCGCGTGCGAATTTGGAAAGAGCTCTTCAGCAGATCCGGCGCAGAGATTGCGCGTCTTGAGCACGAAAATAGTGCACAAAGTACGTCAGCTGCAGCTCGAAAAACACTGCGTTCAAATGCGAAAGTAGCACACGAAGTGCACTCTTGCAGCTCTGGCTCGAACATCGTAACTTTGCAGTATGTAGTACGCGGAGTCCATTTTTCCAGTGGCGAGAGCCGCAAATCGGAAGCTTCAAGTACGAAACGAAGCCACGCGAAGTATACTTTCGCAGCTGCTGCCCGAATAGTGAACTTTTACCTGCGAAGTAGCACTTGCAGTTTTGAAATACAAACGTGTTTCGCAAAGCGGACACTCCAGTGTTGAAACAATCACGTCACGTTGTGTGGGAGGATCACTACTTTAGAACGCTTAGATCGATGCACTTGCGTTGCTCTGGACAAAAGGCTTTGAGGGAGGAGCTCAAGGGAGGCCCGGGACTTGCTGGGAGTAATGCAGAAACACACTGACTAAACCACACAAATTCACACTTGAGAAACCAAAGAAAAACAAAGCTTTTGGCAACACCACTTCTCCTCTGACTTGTGATTTTGTCGTGCTTGTTTAGGTTTTGGTGGTATCTTGTAGTGAAGTTCATTGCGAAAGCAAAAGGAATGCTGTCTACTTGGCCGTGCTCACGAGAGGGGGGCGGTCGGCCGATGTAAGTGAGTGAAGCAAAAGGAATGTTGTATGTGCTGCTTCTTTGCATTGAGCAGATTAGCACACCTAATCAAAGCCAACACAGGGCATATAGTAAAGGCTCAACAACGCAACAACACCCATTCAAAACAAGCAACACCGCAAGGGCTATGCCGGGAGTTGCATCTGGGCTGATTTCTTGGGTACCCTTTTGGGTTGCTCACGTGGGACACCAAAAGCGCATCAACCACTTGTTGAGTTCAGCATTTTTTGACACACACACACACACACATGTTTGCTCCGTGTTTTGTCCTCGCTGCTCTTTTTTCAGTCTACCCAACATCATATGAACAATCTAGGACTCTAAAACACAGATATCCGCATCATTCTTAATAGGTAACATGTTTTCCCATACCACCCTCCGATTACTGCCCACATTGCCAACTGCCCGAAGGGGTAGCGTGTCCCGTCAAGACTCCCTACAATGCGGTTCCATGCGAATCTGCAAAGAACTCATCTAGGCGTGCCCTGAAATAGGATTTGGACCCCCACAAATCGATGGATGCCTTTTTGTTTTCCCTTTAAAACCACTCCCAAAAGGGTACCGACTCCAAGAAAGACCCACCCATCTGTCCTCCCTTTCCTTCACTGCGCGACGTGCCATGCGCCGCGGGTGCATCCGGAGGTCTGCCCCTCGGTGCATCCTGCGGGCTGCCAGCAGCAGCACAGATCCCAGTGCCACGCCATACCTTGCCAAAAAAAAGTCTACTTGCAATATGATGCACAAG